ATCACATCCTTACAACCATTCTAAGGACAATTTAATGACTTGGGGAAATGTTTAACATACTCTCTCATGAAAAAAAGTAGGATACAGAATATTTGATACCATCTGATGCTAATTTAGTTTAAGTATCCCTATCCCCACCCCTCAGGTTACATGACACAAAACACTCATCATTCATTGTATGTGGTTTTCTCTTCTTGCCCCACTGATCTAAAGGCATTGCATCCACTCCGATGGCTTCAATTCTCGTATGTGCTAAGGATGTCTAATCTGTTCTCTCCTATAACCCAATTCTTCTCCTTCATAAACTATGCCAGCTAATCTTTATCCACCTAGATCTCTATGTGTGTAATTTTTATTATCCCCGATTTCTTCTTTCTTCAAATCCTGCCATTTAAACCTCTTAAATAAGACTTGAATTCATCCCATCTCCCTCTTAAATGCACTGCACTCTAAGCTGAGACATTCTCAGGGGTGCGTCGGTGGCTCAGTCAGTTAAGCATCAGCTTGGGCTCAGGTCATGATCTCGTGGTTTGTGAGTTTGAGCCCTGCTTTGGGCTCTTTGCTGTCAGCTTAGAGCCTGCTTTGGGTCCTCTGCCCCTCCCCTGCTCTTCAAAAATAAATAAAAACAGTAAAGAAAAGAAAATAAATGGAGACATTCTCCTTTCATCAGGACCAATGCACAAGACTGAATGGTCTATGGTTCTAACTTCTTCAATCCATTCTGTCATCGGGGTCATCAGAGGGATCATTCTAAGGCACACAGCTGGTGCTGTCTCCGCTACTCATTGTTTCTCTTTCTGTTGTGATGCCATGAAGGTTCAAACAGTAGGAGATGCATGTCCTGCCAGGGCTAATGTATTTACCGCTCATCTAAACTTTCCTACCTCCCCCTTTTCCTACTGTGGGAGGAAGCAGCTAAGTAAAGCAGGTACTGAAATGAAAAAGGAAACCCAGGGAGAGTGACTCAGCTCACAGACAACGCATGGAGACAATCGAAGCCTAACAATCCATTGGAAGTTTCTCACCAAAGTGGTTTTAATCAGCTTAGTGCCATTTATAGTTTCTTCCCTTCTCTAGGCCCTGCTGTGGATCTTCTCGAGATGCTAGCAATCCTCCAGGTGCTCCCAATATTTTTTTAATGTTTTAGGAGGGGCAGAGAGAGAGGGAGACACAGAATCCGAAGCAGGCTTCAGGTTCTGAACTCGTGTAGGACTTGAACTCGTGAACGCAAGATCATGACCTGGGCTGAAGCCAGTTGCTCAACCAACTGAATCACTCAGCCATCCCTAAACAGCAGATATTTCTGATGTCAGAATAATGTTTATTAAATAATGTTTACTTATTTATTTTTGTGGGGGCGAGGGGCAGAGAGAGAGAGGGAGACAGAGGATCCAAAGCAGGCTCCTCACTGTCAGCACAGAGCTTGACGTGGGGCTCGAACTCACAAACTGTGAGATCATGACCTGAGCCAAAATCAAGAGTCAGACTCTTAACCAACAGGGCCACCCAGGAGCCCCAGTGGTATCTTCTTTGTGTACAGACATAGCAGCCTCTACTTTTGCACTTCTTCCCTGTCCTTAGGCATAGATCTAGAATCTAGATAACAGAAACCACATACCAGATAAGTGAGCTATCTCTTCCTTATAGATTTCCCTTGTATGTCACAGAATTAAGGTCAACTCTTAAGTAAAGTTACTTAAGAACTTAAGAACCATTTCATCTTAGAAATTGGTTAGTGTTTACCTACTTATAAGTAAACTATCCAAATGGGGCTCAGCTCCTGGACAAACAGTATCTGAAAATGATGATATAACTAGATATGGGTTATAGTAAAGAGGTAACTTCTTTAATACTCGTGTCCTATAAAAATGGCAGAGCAGGGGCGCCTGAGTGGCTTAGTCGGTTAAGCATCCGACTTTTGCTTAGGTCATGATCTTGCGGTTCGTGGGTTCGAGCCCCGCGTCCGGCTCTGTGCTGACTGCCAGCTCAGAGCCTGGAGGCTGTTTCAGAGTCTGTGTCTCCCTCTCTCTCTGACCCTCCCCTGTTCACACTGTCTCTCTCTCTCTCCTAGAAATAAATAAAAAACATTAAAAAAAAATGGCAGAGCAAAGTTTGTTTGGTAGGAATGAACTGAAAACATCAGTAGAATTACTATTATGGCCTTTTACATGTTTTGAGGGTGATCATTTTTTTCTTCTTTGCCTATACTTAAAGGAACTTGTGTCTTCATCATGTTTTAAGTTGCATTATCATGTTCTTGCATGTTATCTGGTAATATAAAAAGCCTCAAAAAAAGGAAGTGAGGAAATCGAATTTATTATAAATCCTAAAAGCTATGTTGCTAGTTAGGAGCAGATATTTAAGCCCCAAAGGTAGTAATCCTCACAAGCTCCAGTTGCTGTTATATAGACCTCTGATTTAAAAAAAACAACAAAAAAATAACAATACACTAAATAGTAATAAGACATTAAAATATATTTATATATGCCAGAAAATAGTAGGAGAATATTTTTCCTATATAAAAATTTTCAAACAGAAAAGTTAAAAAGAATAGTATAATGAACTCTCAAGTACCTTTCAGCAAGGCTCAAGTTGTTAATACTGTGCTATTTTGGTTTCATTTATATAGGTATGCATTTTTTTCCTAAATCATTTTAAAGTAAATTACAGATATCATGATCAATCATATTATATTTAGTCTTAATTTTCAATATCTGCTTTTCAAGTATTTTTTTCATTCATGTTTTATAAAATCCTTTAAAAAGATTAAAAAAGAAGAATTATTACATTTATCCTGTTAAAGAGCAAGACTTACAGGGGCACCTGGGGGGGCTCAGTCAGTTTAGCGTCTGACTTCCACTCAGGCCATGATCTCGTGGTTGGCAAGTTTAAGCCTCACATGGGGCTATCTGCTGTCAGCATGGGGCCTGCTTTGGATCCTCTGTCCCCTCTCTCTCTGCCCTTCCCTTCTTGTTCTTTCTCAAAAATAAATAAACATTAAGAAAACAAAAGCAAGGGACGCCTGGGTGGCTCAGTCAGTTAAGTGTCCAACTTCGGCTCAGGTCATGATCTCACAGTTGGTGGGTTTGAGCCCTGTGTCGGGCTCTGTGCTGACAGCTAGCTTGGAGCCTGGAGCCTCCTTCGGATTCTGTGTCTCTCTCTCTCTCTGACCCTCCTCTGCTCACACTGTCTCTCTCTCTCTCAGAAATACATTTAAAAAAAATTAAAAAAATAAAAAAACATTAAAAAAACAAAAAACAAAAGCAAGACTTACAGTGTAAAAGAGATTCGATGTATACATCAAAAGCATTAAACAAAACCCCTGAAATATTAACTCTACATTGCAATCATTAGTATTCCTGATTTATTTTTCCTTAAACGAATACACATATACCAGCGCTGTCCATTATGAAAGTCAAGTAATCACAGGAAGTAATAACACCATAGCAGTGAACACTCCTAGTAACTGTGCTATGGTCTCTAAACACCATACCCTCCTAAGAGACACCAAAGCTCCTTGGGGGGATGGCTGATGCGAGGACTGAGGGCAGGAAAGCACACAAGAAGGTGCTGGGAAATCTCATTGTCCTTGACAGCAAGCAAATCCTATAAGCCTGAAGAGGTCATGCCAGAAGGACTCGGGAGCTAACATGAAGAGTCTCACAGCCATAGACGAGACAATCGGAGAATCAAAGAACATGACTGAAACTGAAACCCTGAGTACCTGAAAACACACAGGTACCCAATGAAATGAAAAAGTGCCCTCCCCCATCCAAGCAACAAACAACAGATTACCACTGGAGGTAGAGGTATGTAAGGGCATCAACTCCTTATTCTGAAAATGGCAATTAAAGAATTAAGAATTTATCTTGTCTTTTCAGATCAAATTATATATTGGGATAACTAAATAAAAAGCTCCAGCTGATAAAGTTTTGCTTTGCAGAAGAATTACAGCTAATATACTTAAAACGCAGGAGACATTTAGAAACTTAGCATTGGCTATTTCTAGTTAAACAGTGATTCAGGCAGTCATGAAAACATTACGTGAAGGTGGATGTGGGTCTTTACAATGAAAGGAATAGCGGTTGCCATGTGAATTCACTAATCCATTGTGGAATCACTATGAGACAATCAGATAGCATGCGTCCCCTGAAATGATGCTGTATGAAGCTCATGGTATAGTTTATGCAGTATTCTCACCCCTTAAAGTTACAGTTAAGTTCTAGTTTGCAAGAAATATGGACGATAGAACAACTTGATGCCATGAGGAGGCAGGCAGCCAGATCCAGAATGCGTGACTTCCTGTATGACAACTCAGTTTTCTCAAGAATCAAAGACAAGGTGGGGAAAGCAGGAAGGGACAATGAAACGCCGAGTATCAACCGACTGTGCTGTGTGGACTCGCTTACATCCTGACTTGAACAAATCAACTGTAAAAAGACGTTGAGCTACTTGGACAAACATCTATGGACTAGGTAGGTGTTGGGGGACACCAGGGAATTGTTACTATGAATTTTGGTGGATGTGATGATAATGGCATTGTGACCATAGGGAAAAAATGTCTATCTTCTTAAGAGAGGTATATCTAAGTATGTAGGGGTGAAACGACCTGAGGGCTAGATTTTCTTTAAAAAAGCTTCATACACACACAGTTGTTAGATGAAGCAAGTATAGTAAAAAAGGCCTGATAATTAACTGGGCTTAGGAGTAGGCATATGGGGGTTCATGACACTGTTCTTTATTCTTCTGTGTAGTTTTGAAAATTTCATAACAATTTCTTTTAAAGATGAAAGTAGCTATCTTCAGAGACAGGATCTGAACAGACGTTGAAAACACTTATTTGCATTACACTGTCACTTAAAAACAAATGTGAAACTATTTTAAGTAGACTTCTCAAATAAGATGTTCTTACCCACCCACATTCGTTTTTTTGTGTCTTTTGAGCGTACCACTGCATATTTATTGCCTACGAATTTCTACATTTTTGAAAGATAAATTACCTGTCGTCAATAATCATTATACTGGAGGGTGGAATCCCCAAAACATCACAGCTCTGCAAGAGTTCTTTCTTACGAATCTCCCCTTGATTGTAGTAATTTCCTGAAGATAACAAATATACAGTGGTAGATTTCTTTAACAGTGGAAATCTATCAATTTACTCATTCTTATCTCATCTTGTTCCTTAAGCGACTTAAGCTGCCTGAAAAATGTGTGGTTATGATAAAAAGTTGAAGAAAATACAACACTAGGTTTACTCCCAGTCTTTAGAAGGAAGCACCATTTGATGCTTCCCCATCTCTGTCTGTCCTTCTGTCTGTCTGTCTGCATTTCAGTCCCATGCTACAGGCAGTATTGCTCATCGCCAAGACCACTGGCTTTGGGAGTTAAGCAGATTTAAAATTCATTCTTCTATAGTACTCAGAATAAGTTAGGTATCTGGGAATGCTAGTAGTTTGGGCCCCTTTAAATCGATAGTACTCCAGTATCTGTTAAACATTTCTTTAAAGACGAGGCTCTTACTCCTAAGTATTACAGGAAAATGTGACCTTGGGGACCTTGACCACATCAGTGCCCTGAATAGCTTATATAACCTTTATTTTCCCAACACATGTACTCTATTTCCTAAGAATGGTTCTAGTAAGTACAGCTTGGCTGTATCCTTACAAATAATATACAGGGGAGTTTTAGTACCACTTAAACTGCACTTATGAGCAATTATCTAATGTACCCTTTAATTCAACTCTCCAGCAGATAATTGCAGTGTAACGTGTGCTTGTTACCTAACTTTCCTGAGCCAGTTTCCCCACCTGTAAAGTGGAGATGATGGTCATCTCCAAAGGCTTTCCTGACAATTATATGGGACCATACACATCCATCCAGTTCAGTAGTTTTCTCCTTCCTCCACCTCTTTATCTTTGCCCTCCCCTCCTCTGCTTCCTTTCTTACTGAATTATAATTCATTTTCATTGTCCTGACCAAATGGCACTCCCTCTGGGAAGACTTTCATTATTCCCCTGGCAAGGAATCGTTTCCAGTATTCTGCTCATAAATATGAACTTTTCTCCATGACTGGATTATTAATTCTAAATGTCATTGACCTTAAAAGTCAAAGTCTCATTCAACTTTGTGTCATCCTGGTGTCCTGCACCCTGCGGGCACACATGAAGCCCTGGGTAGAGAGAGGCTTCGTTTACTGGCCAGATAATGCTGAGAAAAACTCCCACATGAGACCTTTCAACTTTTGGCAGGAGTTATTCCACTGTTAGTTTTGAACTGTTTGAAGCCAGGAAGCAGACAGTCATTACATTGTATCCATCGTAACCCTAAAAAGACTCCAGATAATAATTTTGTTTTGTATTGTCCTCATCACATTTTTTTTTTTTTTTTACTTTTTTAAAAGAAAAGTCAGAAACTATTGTCAACTTGATGACGGTCATTCTGTTTTAGGTTCCTCTCTAGTCCGTGTACATACCCTCTCCTATTTCATCTCCAGGTCCCTTGATCTTTGGTGATAGTCTCATGTGCTCTTGCAATGTGATTCCTAAGTCCAGAGCCTGTGCACATCAGGCTCCCAGGATTGTGAGAAACTGCTTGGAATGCAGGTTAAGGAGTGTATTGCTTTGAATTGCTTGTGAATTCAGGAACTTAAAATAGGTTAGGGAGTTGAAGTCAGAGATCATTTTAAATATTTTCCCGAAGTTTGCTGAACATGTAGGCACTTCAACGGAATGAGTGTCTCAGATCCTGCAGCAACTCTTAATGATACACTTTAGAAGTGTGTCAAGGGGCGCCTGGGCGGGCTCAGTCGGTTAAGTGTCAGACTTCGGCTCAGGTCATGATCTAGTGGTTTGTGAGTTGAGTCTTGTGTTGGGCTCTGTGCTGACAGCTCAGAGCCTGGAGCCTGTTTCACATTCCGTGTCTCTCTCTCTCTGCCCCTCCCTCAGCTCCCACACAGGCACGTGCTCTCTCTCTGTCTCTCTCAATAAATAAATGTTAAAAACAACAACAAAAAAGAACTGTGTACAGGTAGGGTACGTGCATACTGGGATGCATAAGACCGTCTGTTGGGGAGAAGAAATGCTTTGGAACTTTTCCTCTTAATTTGTTTACCCTGTCCTTCATAAATGTCAACTTTTATTAATGTTTTATAATGTACACATTAGTTCAGAGGTCCATGTACTTAATATAATTATAAATAAATATACATATAACGGGAGTATGTGCTCAAAAGTTTTTTTTTTTTAATTTTTTTATTTCTAGGAGAGAGAGAGAGAGAGAGAGACAGCGTGAGCAGGGGAGGGGCAGAGAGAGAGGGAGTCACAGGCTGAAACAGGCTCCAGGCTCCCAGCTGGCAGTCAGCACAAAGCCCGACGCGGGGCCCGAACCCACGAACTGCTAGATCATGACCTAAGCGAAAGTCGGACGCTCAACCGACTAAGCCACCCAGGCGCCCCTCAAAAGTTTTTATCAACTAGAAAATGTGACCCAAAAAGGTTTGGAGATTATTATTCTAGAAAACAGAAAAAAAAAAAGGGATTAATGTAGATCTGTTTACATAGAACTACAGTTTGTGGTGTGTGTATAATTGATAGGCTTATGGATAACTATATGCTTAGTGAAGTCTTCCATCTTGCGAGAACTCATATTTCTCAATAATTACTAGTAATCATAATGACATTTAATAGAAATTAAAGCCACTTTGTAAAGACCCATACTTATACACCACAGTGTATAAAAGTAAACATTTTTATTTTATTTTAAAATGAAAATGTATGTACCCCAATGTTCATAGCAGCACTCTCCACAATAGCTAAAACATGGAAAGAGCCTAAGTGTCCATCAACAGATGAATGGATCAAGAAGATGTGGTTTATCTATACCATGGAATACTACATGGCAATGAGAAAGAATGAAATCTGGCCATGTGTAGCAACATGGATGGACCTTGAGGGTGTTATGCTGAGCGAAATAAGTCAGGCAGAGAAGGACAAATATCATATGT